GCTACACCACCACCAGAAGCCTTTAGCTGCCCATAGCTGCATAGAGGTTGCATTCCCAGGGAAACACGGGCAGTAGCAGAAGGTCTTCAATGCATATTCTAGCGTACTGTTCATTTTTTGATTGACTGCACTGATAATTTGATAGAATTCTCAAAAAATTGCACACCACACATCTCTGATTTACTCCAACCTTCTGACTTTTTTCACCATCTATGTGCATTTCCTCTCTCACCTTTCATAAGCAGTTGGTAAATGACAAATAGCTAGGTAGTGTTTCTTTAGGCTACTCCCTGCAGTTTCAAATTTTCCATAATTCTGCTATAATATTTTTACTAGGGGTTGGATTCTCATTTGTTGCCAATTGAACTAGTTTCCGTGTGGCACAGTATCAGATATTTCACAGAAATAGAGATGGATCTGATCTTCTTTTTCTTTTTCCCTTCCTTTAATCTGACTCTAATCATCAGGTATTGACTGTAATATTGCTTTTCACTGTAGTCAGTAAATGATGTTTTGCTATTTAATTTTACTTATCTTTCTGTGATATAACCTAGCTTATTCTAACTTTTGACTTCCACAGTCTATTTTCTTATCCCTAGCAGTTTGTCTCTTAGTTTATTTCAGCTCTCCATTTTAATGAGCTTTGTGTATGCATGAGGCCATGGCCTGGAAGCTCCTCACATCTATGCAAAACATTCCAGGTATTTTTTTACCTTTGTCTTTGAGAAATTCCAGTCCTTCCTTCCCAAGGCCTCTGTCCGGTTGACTTTAAGTAGCCTTCCTAACTTTTCATAGTTAAGGAGAATTTAGAAATATATATGTTTTTTTCTCAAAGTAAATTTTGTTATTAGAGCTGCAGACCTGCTTTTCTAAAAACTCTCCATCTCTAGCTCTCTTCTTCCTACTCAGAATGTTAAAAAGAAAACAATTGAAAAGTATAAACTCCCAGAAGTTACTCTTCCTTGCCCTGAAGGCTGCTATAATACTGCAATTATTCAAGCGCCCTTAACTGTTGACAGAAATTTTTGTTTGTTCTAAATAGCTACCATCATTCATTTAGAAACTACTTAAAATATAATAATTTTAAGAGACCATCTGCCTGAAATGACAATGCATATTGCAGCTAAATTTTTTTAACTTCTTTTCCGCTTTGTTCATTCTCTTTCCTATAACTGATAATATGATCTGTTGATAATGAGTTCTGTGTTAAAAGTTTATTTTCTGAATTAATTTTCCACTTAAGTCCATTGTGCACACAAACATTCAGACAAATGTTTATTTATCATCAGATTGTCTGCTGGAAGATGAGAGAAAAAAAAGTGGGCACAGCCTTGTTTTCATATGTGCATACCTACCATGTAAAATCTGCAGGTTCATTAGATGAGTTAACTGGGCCAATGATTAAGGGACCTTTTCCTTTTGCCCTTCATTGCCTCCTCTGTCCTTTTTGGAGACAATTTGCTGTTAGAAGTTTCAGCATTTCAAAGTATAGTTACTTAGTTTAAAGCAAAAGCTTTTGAATGTTCCCACTCCTTGTCTTGTCTTACAAGCTGTTTTTGTCTAATAGAATCATACCATAGAATCATAGAATGGCCTGGGTTGAAAAGGACCACAATGATCACCTAGTTTCAACCCCTCTGCTATGTGCAGGGTCTCCAACCACCAGACCAGGCTGCCCAGAGCCACATCCAGCCTGGCCTTGAATGCCTCCAGGGATGGGGCATCCACAGCCTCTATGAGTAACCTGTTCCAGTGCATCACCACCCTCTGAGTGAAAAACTTCCTCCTAAAATGCCAACACCCACTGTTAAGATCTAGGAATCTAAACAAGAATAAATTAGAAGATGAGCTGGAATAATGAATTTCTCATCAGGGTTTGGATTTTTCATGTTTTATTTTTATGTAAAAATAATTTGTGAATGATATCTTTGGTTGAGAGCCATATATGTAGACTGACGTGGTTGAAGAACTTGTTAATGTGCTACTGCCTAGGTATCATCCTAACTGTGAAAAGCATGCATAAGAGGAAGCCAACACATCAAGTAACACTGGTTCTGTCACTCACCTCTGTAGGCAATGAAAAAGAGCCATCCAATGAAGTATTCAAGCTGATGGGCTGCCTGTCCTTCCAAGCACCAGCTCAGTTTCTAAACCCCTTCAGTGAAGGCAGCTCAAGTCTCACAGCATTGTGAGGCAGTATTTCAGTGAGAACTGGGTCAGGTTGTTCACCTCAAGAAGATGACCCTTTTTATATTACATAGGTATTCTCTGTGTCATTTCTGTGATTTGTTTATGTATATTGTCTCTCTCTTTATATATACATATGGATTGTTTAGTCCATAGCTGTTGTCCTTATCCTACTATTAGCTACCAAGGTTTCTGTGCTTCCCTGATACCTTTTACAGTGTTCTGCACTTCAAAAATACCAGTTCAGTACCAGATTCAGATCTTTCTGAATCTATGTAACAGGTCTCCTTGAGAAGTTTCCCAACAGTCTGTGTTGTCCAAGGGTTCACTGGAAATACCTACACATAATGTATTGCATTACAAATCTGTGGTTTTTTTGGTTTTTTTGTTTTGTTTTTTTTATATATTAAACAGTTGATGTGAAATTTAATACTCACATCTTAACATTAATTTTGTCAGAACAGAAATAGCAGATAAAATTCTATGCTTATTTTTCTACATCTCCTACTTATATTCTAGATCTTTTTATAGAGATCTGAATAATAATAACTCTCAGTCTAGCAAGCATCCTGTGTGAGAGAAGAACAGACAATACCTGTTCCATAGCAATCCACTGTCACTGTAAAATGAGTCTTGTTTCAATGAAATGTCTCAGAGATCTGTAATATTTGAAGAGTGAGATGCCTGAATTTACTTGAGACAGCCTGTGAAGTTGCCTACTCTAAGTTTTATTCAAATAGGTCAATTCCCCCAGGGATGTGCACTTGGCCTCAGCCCAGCAGAATCCTCATAATTCAGGAAGGAAACTAATGATAACAAATATTTTTTTCAAAGAGACAGACTTTGCAACAGTTCTTGTATTGTATGAACCCCTCAAGTGATTACGGTAACTGCAGTGAAGAACCTGCAGTCATTTTCACAAGTTTATGGGGCTTGACCCTTTGCCCTAATTTTACATACCTAACCTCTGCATACCTGAATGGGGTATGTAATCTTCATGGTGGCTCCACTGGATAGAAATAAACAACATGAAACAGTAAAAACAGTGCTGCTTGCACTGAATTAAACCCCAGTGAGGATCTTGTGTGCCTTTCATGAAGATGCAAGAGATTAGGGTTCCCAAGTGCTCTAAGTAGAGACCCCAGCTGAATGCTGAGGTTGAAGTGGCGTCGTATCTCCCATTCCATCTTAAAGGGCAAATGGGACCAATATTTCTAAGGCCTAAGAACCATATTCCTGTATTACCTTGTACAATAGCACTAGATGAAAGATGATGAAAAATATTTGTATGACACAAAAGCAGCGTGCCTGGTTGCCAGGAAGGCCACTTGCATCCTGGCACAACTGTATCAGAAATAGTGCTGCCAGCAGGAGCAGGGAGACGGGTAATCATCCCCCTGTACAAAGCTCTGGTGAGGCCACACCTCGAGTACTGTATTCTGTTTGGGGGTCCTCCCTACAAGAAAGACATTGAGGCACTGCAATGTATCCAAAGATGGGCAGTGAAGCTGGTCAGGGGTCTGGAGCACAAGCATTATGAGAAATGGATGAGGGAACTGGGATTGTTCAGTCTGGAGAAAAGGAGGCTCAGATGAGATCTTACCACTCTCTCTAACTGTGTAAATGGAGGTTGTGGCCAGGTGGAGATTGGCCTTTTCTCCTACATAACTAGCATGGGAGACAAGAGGGAACGGCCTCAAGCCATGCTAGGGAGATTCAGATTGGATATTAAGAAAAATTTCTTCTCAAAAGAGTGATCAGGCTCTGGAACAAGCTACTCAGGGAGGCGTCTGAGCTACTGTCCATGGAGGTGTTCAAGAAACATTTAGATGCTGTACTGGGGGGCAGGGAATAGTGGGGAAATATTGGCAGTAGGTGGATGGTTAGACTGAGTCATCTTGGAGGTCTTTTCCAGCCTTGGTGATTCTGTGATTCTAAAGCACAGAGGAATTCAGCTGTCTCATGCAGAGTGGCTGCATGGATTTTGGGACACAAAGGCAAAAGCCGTTTTGATGGCTGCCTTTAGCTGTAGACACAGTGGAAAAAATGATGTAAGTGACAGATTGATTTTGAGTTCTGGAAACAGCAGAATACCTGCTGGTGCTTGTTCACCACACTTGTAATCAATTGTTTCACTCAGTGCTAATGGTGTATCATGCTTCATAGCAATAAAAGACAGTGCATGTGCTGAGTTGTTGTTATTTGCCTATCATCTGCTTTAGACTGAGTATTACTAATGAAGATTTAAAAGTAATCAGATGCATAACCATGTATTGTGTATGGTATAACTGTAATATATGTAAAATTATGTAATTGTATGTATTATACGATGTATCATATAAATTTTTACCATTAAGCTTGAGCTATATCTGAAAACAACAAATCAAAAGACAAAATAGGTAATCACTAATTATATGAGATAGTAATTTTTATAAAGTAAAAGACTTCCTGACAAAATTTCTTAGCAAACCATTCAGAATTATGATTCTAGTACTCTATACTTGGATTTTAATAGAGGCTGTATAATGGTGTGGATTATTCTGTTCTTATATGATGTTTTATTTAAGGAACTTCAGCATGTAGAGACAATTCCATGAAGTTATTTACTCTAGCTATGATTTATTTAACTTTTTTCATACTAGTACTATTTAGAGCAGAAAATCCTTTCATATATGATTAAATGTGCACTTTAAAAATAGTGGAAAGTAAAACTTAGATATGTTTTTCATCTTAGTTGGCCAAACTGTTGCTACATATATCCATCCACTAGTAGAAGAATTCTTGTTGAGTCTTTCTTATTTGTTTTCTCACAGAGAGTTTGGATGGCGAGATCCAGAGCTTCCAGAAGTTATACAGATGTTACAGCATCAATTTCCATCAGTACAGTCCAATGCTGCAGCCTACTTACAGCACCTCTGTTTTGGAGACAATAAAATAAAAGCAGAGGTAAAATTTATAATTACCTAATTTTCAACTGTGATGCTGTCTGCAATTTATCAGCAAAATTATTTATATGTGCTTTAAAAAGAGTTACAAGAGAAATTATGCATGCATGTGTGGAGCAATTTCAGTCAAACTTTTACTTTATACATTTGTTATTGATATAGAAAGAAACACTGTGGAGAATACTGTTGTCACTCATTTGGATGGCTATTTTTTTTTTTTGTTTGTTTTGAGTATTTTAATTGATTCTATACCATTAAATGCTGTATCAGTAGGTGTTAATAGTAGAGTCTTGATCTCACTGAAGCATTTCCTGAGAATTTTCAGAGAGAAAAGTTTGGACTCTAAATATAGACACAGAAAATGAAAATTAAATGAAATTATTCTAAATCAAAGCCTGCTTTAATGTATAATTGTGGGTTAAGAGATTAGCTTGAACTGTGATAGTTGATCTATGATCTTGAAATTTAGAGCAGATTGTACCTAGAATGCAGTTCCGAAAGGAGCATAGACTTTGTTCAGTTCCTGCAGTTGTTCTGTTCTTCTCACTTGCTTGTTCCCTGTGGTCACTGGGACCAGTTAAGCTTTTGGCATAAGTTAAAACAGAAGGAAGGCAGCACTGAGGTATCTGACAGGCACGCAGTAGTCAATTAAAATTGAATGTGTGAAGCTGTTACCAGCCCCAGCTGGCTCCCTGGCCCTCTCAGAGATACTGCTAATCACGGAGATGTGATGTGCACATAAATCTGTGCCTGTATTGGCATCCCTTAGCCTAGCACGCAAAGGTAAACTGAGATCAAGATCTGCTATTGCTTGTTTGTTTGAGCTGTGAAGGGATCCTGGCTTGTTTGCCTTCATTACTGTCTCTTACAGCACACCCTAGCAGCTTTCCCTTCAGGGATTTTTCACACTGAGAAAATTCCTAAGTGAGTAGCTAAGCTTGCAGCCTGTTGGCATTGCCAGAACTGCAGTAGGGAGATGTACTGGGTGCATTCCCCAAACAGAATGATAAAAAATGTAGAAAAGAGATTTCTGTTACAGGTGATGCTGAAAGTTCCAGCTGCACATTCTCCTCGTAGTCTTTTCTCTCATCCCGATTTCACTGATCAGTTTCAGTAAAATAATTGATAAGTCTGTGAGAAAAGTAGTTAAATATTCAAAACAGTTTATTCATTGTGCAATCTGTGCTTGCTCCTGTTACCATAGATTAAGAGCCACTAGATAGTTTCATATTTGGGGGAAGGACATGGTTTGATTTTTGTTGTTAACCATTCAAGAAAAATATCCTTTAGAAGACTGGCTATTGTTGATGTATTGCATATTATTAGGACATCAGCCTTTGTAAACTTCAGATTCGTGAGCTGGGAGAGCAAGGTTATGGCAGCATCAAAGAGTATAGCATAAGGCAGCCTTCTGCAGCGCTTCTCTGAAAAAGGACAGCAGGTAAAATGAGGATTTCCCCCTTTTTCTTTTTTGCTGCTTTGTTCCTCACACCGTAACAGGTAAACTGTCTTTGGAAAAGAAGCCACAATATTTTTTCATCCGTTCTCCTGAGAATATGCATTCAAACTTTTGTTAATATAGGTTTTTATAAGACAAAAATCAAGGTGTGTTTTGACTCTTCTAATGCTTTGTGAAGCTTCTAAACAAAAGCTTGGAATGCTAGGAAACTCTTCCCATCTATTTGTCTATTTGCCTGTTGTTTTTAAGCATAAGTATTTTGTGTTTGTGCCATGATTCAGCCACGTACTTAAACGGTTTGTGTGTGTGTTTCTTGGGATCAGCTACCCAAAAGGGTCAGATGTCTCCTCAGAATCTGCTTAGGTTCTCCTCTGAGCTGGAATTTTTTAGGAGCCTTTTGCATTAGGAGACCAAAATTCAGTTAATAAGGGGATGTTACACCAGATCTCAACCCCCCAAACTGGCCAGATTCATACTACTTTCCTCCAGCCAGAAGAATTTGAGTGGTGCTGCTAAACTTCACTGGGAAAAAGCATGGCCTGCCTGTTAAGGATATGTCTGAATTACGTGCTGAAGGAAGATGTAAGTAATAGAAGCTGTTATCAAAATACGCCCTACTGCAAGGTGTTTGTGTTGCAGTTGGGTGTTGTGGCCAGTTCTCCCCTGTCTAAAGCTGCCCACATTTCATACTTGATTCCTTCTGCTGGAAAGGCAGCATTCTTGTTATACTGCCCACAGTCACAGGGAAACATGCTGCAGGGATACAGCTGAGACACACAGGTGAAAAATTCCAATTCTTTTGAGACACAGAAAACTATGCTCTTTCACTAAATAGCAGCATAGCAAATAACTTAGGCTAAAGAAGGAAAACTGCCTTGATGGCCTTTCAAACTTTGGAGAAAGGCCAGACACAGGAATGTGCACATTAAGAAAACTACCTGTGTTTTGTACTCCTGACAAGCACCAAGGGAAAGCAAATTGTCTGAATCCAGTAGTTAAGTGTTAATGTATAACGTGCCCTTGAAGCATCACCACGTGCACACACAGAATGGCTAATGTTATGCAACAATTCAGCTCATTCTAATGGTCACATGGAATTTGAAATGTAATTTGGCTGTTAAAGTTTCAACTCTGGAGGTTAACTTAGGAAGAAAACAGTTCTCTATACTTATCGCTAATGAGTATCAAGTTGCCATACTGTAACGAATGGCTACTTTATCCTGGATTTCTGAAAATAACCAGTTTGAAATAAATTCACTATTTTTTTAAGCATGATTTATGCTACATTGTCTACAGAAATATGATTAATGATTTTCATTGGAACTCGACCATTCTTTTGTTCTTGCAGTTTTGGTTTCATGTAGTGATAGAATTGTCCTACTTCTTAGGAGACTTTGCTGGAACTTGCTAATAAACTTATCCCCACGTGCATGGTGGGACTGAGGCCTTCCTACTCTCTTTGAGTAGAACAGCATCAATTAAATCAGGCAAATAGAAAACAGTAACTATGACTATGTGCATTTCTGAAATTCCTAGCACCAATCAAGATTTTCTCTTCCAAAATATTTTATTTTCTGTTGCTGAAGTGTGGAAAATTATTCCCTGCTTCTTCTCTGCCCTTGACAATAAAAGGAAGTGGAAATACTCAGTTGAAGTCAACTATCAAAACGAAATGCTGTAAAAAACTCCTTAAGTATAGCTAGGGAAAAGAGAGAGCTTTTATGCCTGATTTTGATTGTGTTCTGTTAAGTGTTCTTTCTAAACCATGTGTGATCTCATACTTTCTTCTGAATTTGGTGATATATCGATCTAATTGTACATTTATTGCTGCATGAATGTTAAAGCGTGGTTCATTCTTTTATGCAGCAGCTCTCTCAGAGCCAAAAGATCTGCAAATGCTCTTCTCTATCTTAGAGAATGTTCAAACAAAGTTGGAAAGCTGCTTTGGTGAAGATACTCCAGTCTGGCTACAGAAGTGTCTGAAGTCATTTACTTTTACCCAGAAGAACTTTCAGAGAGAATTAGATGTTTCTAGTGGAATTTTCATTTTATCTTTCAGTATGCTAGTACTATTTAAACGTAGTAAGTGGTGGCATTTGGAAAAGGAGGTGTTGTTATTGCTTGAAGATGTTGCTGCTCAATTCTGCTCAAAACAGTTCAGTGCCAGTCTTAATTTAAAAGCACAATTGCAGCTGATGGTCTTACCTGAATTTTATCCTCAAATGCTGCTACTGAACCTGCTCAAGTATTGTGGTCTGAAAGGTGACCACTGCAACTGTTGTCCACAGCACTTCAAGTGTTCTAATTGTATGCCCAGTGCTTGCTGCTTAAGTGGTGCAACAGTCATTGAAGAACTTTGATTATTTGTGCTACTGTCCAATAGCTTAATTTTTCTTCTCCTGTTAACCAGCCACCAACCAGTCCTAGTCGTGTGAAAGGGGACATAGGAAGGCAGAAAGCTAAAGATTGCGAGTATTGTGAGGCAGCTCATTGTATATCATAATTATGTGGGCACAGTTATGAAATTCAGAATTTCAGAATACCTTAGAGATTTATTACATAAATTAGGCTTTCATTGATAGCAGTGAAGAAATGCGACTAGAAGAAAAAAGGAAAGGAGGAAAGCGGTTTTGATCAGATATTTGAAGGCAACTGCAGAGTTGGTCAGGCAAGAATACAGGAAGGGTCTTTCTCATGGCATTTTCTCCTTAAGAGAGGCCTTTTACACCAACAATGGTGAGACTGTGTGCAGAGCCAGAGCAGCTAGCCCTGGATGCCAAAAAGGAACAAACATGGAATATAGGAACAGAGAAGCATTTTAACACAGTCAGCAGAGAACATTTCTTTAAAAGAGCACGTTCTATTAAACACAAGATTCATTCTTCTACTGCAATTTTTCTTCCTGTAATGACAGCTTACTCCTTTGTATGAGGTCACCATATAAAAGGATTGATTTGTGCAGTTTCACACTCCAGCACCATTCTGCTCTCATGGCAAGTGGCAACCTGCCATCAGCTGCGAAGGTGTAACAGGTCACTCAGGGTTTTCGGCACCAGTGACTCCTTTCTGCAAGCTAGGAAATTAATTTCAGCCATCAAAGCCACAGCACTAGTAAGTTCTTATCTAAGGAAAATTGTGCAAAGATGCCAAGTAAAAAACAGTAACTGCTGAACTGTCCTGCCTGAAGCCTTCCCTTGAATCCTTAATAAATCTTGCTGTGTTGGACAGTTTCCTCTCTATCTTGTGTATTCACTTCACACCATATTAGAAGTAGCAATCTAGCTGTTACTGCATGGAGTTCGAAAACTGAGTGACTTCATGCTGAAAGTGTTCGTTTTCCCTTTTGTTCAAAACCATGATTCATATTCATTTTGTCATTAATCTGAAAAATGTTTCTTCGTCTTCCGTGAGTGCTTCAGAATATGCCCAGAACCTTTTCAACTAGGCACCACTGTTCTTTCATGTCATTTAGTTTGCATAAACTTGTAAATCCTCATTATTTTATGTTAACGTTGCTGTTGATTATTGTTTGTGAGGGCTTG